CCTTCTCCACAAACTTAAACTAATAAGCTGTTACTGACTCTGTATGGGTATAAATGGATTGGAAAATGAAGTCATCGGAACAGACGGACAAAAATTATTAGGCTAGCTACAAAGCCTGCAGGATGCAATATCCTGAAAATGTTGAGTGCACCATTAAAAATATATTTTGAGATGTTTTTGTATTTTAAACAGTTTTCTATAGAATCTCCTTTATTAGGGGTAGCATAAATAAGGTCAGGGTTAACAGCACAACAAATGAGCCCCTAATCTCATTGTTAAACAGTAGAAAAAAAATTACAAAAGGCAAACAATTTTGTTTTGAAGCAGCTTTCATCTTCTATTCCATAAAGAGAAAACCAAGTTACTGCACTGTGTCATGGAATACACAATAACCATTTCAGTGAACATTGGTTCTTAGCACAGCTGCTGCTCACTCTCATAAAAGGCCCTACACAAAAGTCTCTCCAAGAGCAACTCTATTGATAAAGGAGCCCTTCATGTATATATTTTAAATCAGATTAGATTAGGAGTCTGCAGGAAGTCTTCTAAACCTGCTTGTGAGTGAATGTACTCCTTCATATTGCCTTCTACTATGTTAAAACCCCCGGAGACAGGGCAGGACACTGTAGGAATATGTTTGATATATAGTTGGATTAAATAACAACCTAATATATCAAACATATCACACAGAGTCCTGCAGAAAAAGGCATCCAGGTTTGATTCATCTTGGGGGAAAAAAAAGGACAAACTGCTGAAAGTGAACAGCAGGGAACTCATTGACTACTAAAGACACTTGTATTTGAAGGAATAAGCCTGCATAGAAGCATGAAGAGCATACCAACAGAATAGGGTAGGTGCAGCAATGCTCTCTGCTGTTGTCCCTCATCTACCGCACCTTTTTCCTTAAAAAGTGTTCTCTTTTTTCCAGTATTAGTAGTAGTATGTAGTTTTTATTAGACAAAATGTATTTCTTCTTCAAAAAATATCAATTTTGAGAGGGTTGTTACTTTACAGCCAGTGGCATATTTGTATAACAGGAGGAATATGTGGCTGCATTGCAAGACACTTGACCCTCCAGAAACGGAAAACGGAAGAGTCCACGCTCAGGAAAACCATAGTTGTATTTAAAGGAAATATGACAGCCAAAACTTGCTTTTAATAAGCACTAAAGGTCTCACTGCTTCACAAGTCATCCCCCACCTTAAACACTGCAATGAGAATACAAAGCAGGTTTTGTGTTATGGGGAGGAGTAGCAACACCTATATAGGAAAGTTCTCAAAATGCTTGCAAGGTATAAGCTCAGAAGAAAGACAGATATTATCAGGGTATCAATGGAGCAGTGGACTAGTGGACTAAGCATTTTAAGGAGCACATTCACCAGCAGTCAAATTACCAGGATTTCAAGCAAACAGAATACGCATCATATGGGCAGCAGTTAGCAGGTCTGTGTCTTATTAGAGATTGCTCTCTGGGATAAGATGATCCCCAGTAGTGGAAAATGAAGTAATCTCATGCTGTTGGTCTCAATCTTAGACATCAAAGGGCTACGATAAGGGCAAAAATATGAACAGAAAACAAGGGAAAGAAGAATTCAAATAATCCAAAAGTATCAAAAAAATTAAGATAGTGAAACAAATGAGAAAAACCTCTACCTTCAACTACCCATTTTTTTCTTTAGAGGTAATAGACAAACTGGAACACACAAAGATGAAAATTTCAAGCCTAACTCAAGTGAATCCCACTCCCTGTGCCAATAACAGCGGCTTACCCAAACATAAAGAATTGGCCACCAATTAATAATGATGAGATGATGGATTTTCTACAGGCAGGTTCTTCTAAAATTACCAACTAAGGACTTCTCTGGAAGTTCACTTGATGATAACTGTTAACCAAAGCAGGATATTGGTCTAGCTGGTCTGTTCCACTGTAAAACACAGCTACTATTCCTGCATTTCATAGACTAAGCATAAGAAAAATCAATTGTATCAACTCCCTTACCTAGTCTAGGCCTTCATGCTACAACATGATGTATGTTGTGAAAGACAAGCATCAGAAAGAGAGCCTGGTCAAAGCAGGAAATCCTACTCTGGGAGGATACAAGCTACAACTCTTCAGCAGAAAAAGTGGTATTTGAGCCATTCTGTGATCTTCCTAGTATCTTTGGTGTGTAGTATAATACATATTGTCAAAAGGATTAAACATCTAAAAAAGGATGCAAAGCCCGTTACTATCCCAGATTAAACAAACAGTTGGATAAGAACTTTTGTTTCAGAAAACTAAATAAACAGACCAATAAATCACAGGCAGACTGGATACTCAAATTAACATGTTAAATGAGGAGCAGGTGTGAGATCTGTATTCACTGAGAAATTCTAATGACTCTGGAGCGGCTTAGATGTTGGAAGGAAACTGCTGCACGGTTACTAGGCAACACACATATGGTATTGTGCAGTGAGTATATAGAGAAGGTGATGGAGGACTCTTACTCTCCTCAGACTCAGCCTGTGTCCTCTGCTCTGTAGAATCTCATTATAAAGGACCATTTTTCTTTATAAACAAAATGGATGTGCTTGTTAAAAATGCAGGACAAGGAGCATTTCATTTTCATGAGCTAATTTACTCCCATCATTAAGCAGGGAGGGTGAAAAGGCCTCAAAGAGTGAAGCTACCAAGAACTATTTCATCTGATGGTCCTGAATGACAAAATACCACCCTGCACCAAAAACAATCATTCAAAACTGAATGTTCTTGAGGCCCTGCTTTTCAGAAAGACATCTCACTAGCTTGACTTAGAAAACAGTCTTGCACCTAAAAAGCAATATAAACAGGAAAATAGACACAAAGTCCCTTCCTGAAGTCATAGCCAAAGTGTGATTTTCATTTTAAAGGGATGCAATTCTAGGCAACAAGGTCATTTCTTCTAAAACCTGCCTGTTATTCCACACTAGGCAAAAGGTAGCAATTCTCTGTGATCCAGTGTTGTGAGCTATGCACACAACCATAAGTGACAGCAGTTTCATGTTTCCCTCCGTACTACGCATGAAAATAGTTGTCTTAATTTTATATAATATATTCAGAGATACATTTCAAAGGTCCTGGCAACATGGAACACTACTTGGTTTCATGATGAACTGTAATTTATTTTCCTTCAGGAAAATTATATAGAAATGGTCATACCACATATCTGATTTGATACTGAAGCAGCTACTCCTTTAGCACGGCATAAAATGCTTTTTTTTTTTTAATCTTAGAAAATTCTGAAGGTCTTTTGCATTCTGCTGAACCTCTTCTGTGTTGCTGCTGCCTTCTCCTGCTATACTACATACATTCAAATGCGAACAAAGGGTCTTCAAAGGAAAGCAAGTAAGAATGAGTTTTCACATCAGTAAAAATATGCTTGGAAACAGAAAAGTAAATAACCACCTGTAAATCCTGAAAGCATTCCTAACATTTGGCTTTTCTTCCTTTGCTTGCTCATGGCTGCTGCTTGACTCACTCCTCGAAAAGCATCTTTTTACCCTCTGTCTTCAGGGGTAAATCTAGTGTAGTGTCTAGTGGCACTGAGGCTGATGCAAGGTTTGATTGTTTATACCATTATAACGGACAGCAGCAAAGTATACATTAATACATGGGCTATAGGAATCTTCTGCTTTATTAACTTCAAAGAAACAAGGGGGATGAACACTCACCTTTGGTTTGGCTCTTGGTTTCAGCTGCTCTAACTTCTTTGCTGCAGCCTCAATTGATGCTGCAGCCCCTAGTAACTCTGTCTCTGCAATGACTGTTGGGTCTTCTGGATCCACCCACTCCGTCCCTGAAATTAATGGAGACAAAGACAATAACTTCAGTGCCACTGTGAGCTGCCATCCAAACAGTGTGATTTACAATTTACAAGGGTCAAATACAGAATGCACATCGTAGAAAGCTAGTTTTAGTACTATAATGGCATAAAACCACTGCAGTTTATGCCACTGAGAGCAAAATGTGAGAGTGAAATAAAGTATTCAGC